ATTACATGGAGATCTTCCAGACAAACTATTATTGCAAGATCAACAATGGAATCTGAGTTTGTCGCTCTTGAGATGACTGGAAGTGAGGCTGAGTGGTTGAAAAACTTCTTAGCAAACATTCCACTAGGAATGAAACCAACCCCATCGGTGTCAATACACTGTGATTGCCAATCGGCAATAGCTATAGCTAAAAACAAGAATTACAATGGAAAGAATAGACATATTCAATTGAGACATAATTTGGTGAAGCAGCTGCTAAAGAGTGAAACTATTTCCATTGACTATGTGAAGTCAGAACGGAATCTAGCAGATCCTCTGACAAAACCCTTGGGAAGAAATATGATCTTAGAAACATCGAGGGGAATGAGACTTAAGCCACTAGCAAACAAACAAGTGATGGTAACCCAACCTTTGTGATTGGAGATCCCATGAATAAGGTTCATATGGGTAAAAACAAGTCATTTGTTAGTTCTGATAGCACTAATTTGATTTCAAATCAAATATGTCCATTCCTATGGTGTGTGTGTGAAAGTGCTAGAGACTACATAATTGAGAGGTTAAACTTTGTAATTAAACAAAGTTTTTAATGATCTTCATATCCCTTATGGGTGGTGTATGACTTGCAGCATACACTTGATGAAATCACCTATATGAGTGTCAAGTGGGGCCGCTTGCATGAGATCTTGGCATGATCTCTAGAGCACTCATGAATACCGGGCAAGCGCATGGCCTAGTAAGCGCATCACAACGATAACAACAAGGATTGTGGGGGTGTACTGTGATTAATAAACCTCTAACACACTCAAGTATCTTTGGTTCATATAGCTTGCTATACCAACTATACTGTGTGTTAAGTTTTTCTTTCTAGGACTGGTTCATATAGCTTGCTATACCAGCTCTGATGCATTACATCGTATAAAACCCAGGATTTTTTCTTCTTTCTTTCTTTCAATCATTATTTCTTATCTTTTGCAATATGTGGGGGATTGTTATTATTTATTAATAAAATATTGCAAAGATATGTGCCATCACTTGCGGAGGAAGTTGAGATTGGACCGTAAGTCTTTGCCTTAGAGATATTTTCCTATGCACACAGCCAACGTCACTTTTGGTGTGCAACGTTCATGTTTGTTTCCAACGTTGCTTTTCTCTCTCCACAACCACCGATTTTGTGCTTTAATTTTAAGGTTTGGTGCCACTTTTTACGTGAAGTACTCCTCAAGCTAAGGAGGGTTAGTTCCATCATAGGCTCTATAAATAGAGCTTTTCTTTCATTCAGAAGATATGATCAGAATCATTCTTCTGTCTTTCTCTTTTCTCCTAGTTTCATTCTCTCTCTCTTTTCCTAAAAATATTCTGGATTTATTTATTCTCTTTTTAAGAGATCATTGCTAGTTCTGAGATCCTCAGAAATTCTAAGAAGTTCCTGTTGTATCCTGGGGGCTTGTGCAATACACCGCGGATAAGTCCTTAAGGACAGTGATCTACACGCCTCAGGAAGTATTTTGTTCGTGATCTTTATTCTTTATTGTTAGCTTCTACAACAATATCATGCTATATAACCAACATCATTGCGAGACTTGGATTTATGGCTAATAATATGATACAAAATTTTAGGTGATGTCCATGTATTATACAATTCTAAAAGGATAATGATACTTTGACAACATTTTTTGACAATATTTTAACATCACTTACGTGTCATTATGTGATTGGTCCAAAATTACTTCACAATTAATAATAATAATCATAAATACTAACATGGATCAATCTCAGAATGACAAATAGATGATGTTATTAAAATGTTAAAAAATGTTATCAAAATATCATTATCCTTTCTAAAATAAAGACAACATGTTTGAGTGGAGACCATTCACGCAACGACCTATGAAAAAGGTATATAAATAGAGTCAATTACCAGGAAAATTGTTACTTCTCGATAATACATATATTTAATATATTATATACTTGAATATTAGAGTATTTACAGATATTTCACCTCAAGTTAGATCTAAAAGTAAGAATTGAACATTTCAGACAATAAGATAAAAAAAAAGATAAAATATTGTGGAAACATCTCTGTTACAAATAAGAATATATGCTATCCAAAATTTTATAAAAAAACTTAAATATTTAATTTTATTACAATGATCATCAATAAAAAATTAACAAGTATATATTGTAAATGTTCAAATATTGAAATATTGTAAATATTTAATATTTTGTTACATTTTTTTCAATAATAAAAAAAATACGTGTATAAAATTGAAATAACAAGTTTTTCCATATTATATATAACTTTTACATATCTCTTGTTTCTAAAACTCATTCCTAATATATATATGTGTGGGTTTGCTAACGTGTGTACGTCTATTTTTCAGTTGGAACATTTTAGCGATGTGTACCGGATTTTAATAGACCAAAATATGGATTCTAAGTTTTAAGGTTAAGGATATTTGAATAATTTCATTATCAAAACTAAAAAAACAAAAAATCCCCAAACCCTTACTCATCTTCTTCGTTTCTGTCAACCTTTTATCTTTCATTTCTCTCACTCTTACGAATTATCACGAATTATCAGTATTGTAGATGATTACATAACAAATTATTTATCATAGAATCAAGTGCAAATATGGTAGAACTAGTTCACATACACGATAACGAGACAAAATTTAGTTTTTTTATTATATTTTTCTTTTGATGGCTATCCATTTATGCCACTCTTGTTTGACTTTGCATGAATATGCTTGAACAGTGGCTAGAGTAAGAGACGTGTTTTTATCATACATTTTGATAATTAATTAACAAAAAAATAGATAGAAAGGAAAGAGGGTCCCATAGCTTGATTGGATAAAATAAGGCACAAATATTCTGCTCTTTTTCAAATATGATGCTCTCTTTTATAATTCCATAATTTTTGTTCACAGAAACAAAAAGTTTTCTCCCAAAGTTCTTCACAAAATGGCACAGGATGAAACACGAGGACTCAAACTTTTTCCATCAAATAATTAAATTGAAAAATACTATCAGAATTTGACACAGACGTGCAAAATAATCTAAAATTATTTTCAAAACATGTTTGACACAGCTCATATTTGTAATTTCCAACTATTTTATTAAAAAAAAAGTTGCTTACAGAAAAAGCCATATATTTTAGTTCGTGATGAAGTTGATAATTTTTCTGTAAAACAAAAACTATTATTTTGTAATGTAAAAGTCTGTAGTCTTTTTCCACATAATTTTACTATTTAACAGTCGATTCTTTTTAATTGAATCATTTTTTTTCAAGCAACTTTTCTGTTAGAATTTTTACTTTTACTCTAATAATTTTCTTAATACGTTTTTAATTTTGAATCATAAAAATATAACTTAACTTGTTTACCAATACTATATTATAAGAAAATTCTAAAAGTTTGAAACTTCATTCAAGATATTATTCGTTATGAAGTTTTAAATTCTTTTACAGTTTTATTTTTAAATATATCTTATAAAATTGAAAAAGGTGTATTTAATTTGTTTTTATCTCAACTTTTAAGCAATTATTGGATTTACCAAGTGAGAAAGAGGAGAACAAAATATAGATATGTTACATAAGGGATTGTTATACCATGAATTATGTAAAAAGTAAATTTGCATTTTTTTTTTTCTGTTGACTGCAAATCCTGAAGGTAAAGGAAATACAAGAAGACTCTGCTGAACTGAAACAAAAAGGCTATATTTATGAAAATTGCAATGAGCAAATTATGATGTTTTTTGAAGTAATATACAAGTAGCACACTCATCTTATATGGACAAATTTATTAAGTTTGCACTTGAAGGATAACAAAAGTGCTTTTCTTACCAAAATGAAATTGTATGGTGTGGTTTGACTCTCTTACAAGTATGATTTGTTGGAACACTGTTCCTAAAATTAATTGCTTATTAATAGAGCTATGAACATATGAGATTGCAGATCTAAGTTATGTTGGAAGGAATAAGTAATCTTTTAGACCCTTCGGAAACTGAAACCTGAACATCTTTAGAACTAATAGGTCTATCATTATTAGTTGTATTGCCCAAATTCAGAGTACTCAAGTTGCTGTCACTTGTCTTCTGCTGTTGGTCAAACATCATTTTCAGCTGCTTACCTTGTTCCTCAATCCTTAACTGTAGTTTTCTCTGAATCTGGAAACAGTGAAGTAAATTGAAAGAAAATTTTAACTCAGAACATTGCCAAGCAGTTCTGATTTTCATAACTTTGGGCTTTTCCACCCTTCGCACTTGGTTAAGCAAGTATGCAAATTTGACCAACTTCATTTCACATACAAATTAAGAATAAACGTTAAAATAAAGACTTTAAGCTTAACTCAACTCGTGAATAAAACAATAAACTCAATAAACATCAAATTTTGTTATGAGAGACTCTCACTTATGATTCTCATACTACGTTAAGAAATGAATTTTAAGTCTAACTCAATTTTACAAAACTATTTTGTGTTGGAAGTCCCACGTTGACTAGAGATAAGATCAATTTATAATATATAACTGAGTGCAAACCTCACTTACAAACTGATTTTGTGGGAAGTGAGTTAGGCTTAAAGTCCACCTCTTAACCCTTTACAAGGCGTATCTATTTTTTCTCTATTGTAAACTTATCTCTAATGAGTATCGAACTTCTAAAAATAATTAATGTAATTTGATACAGCAATTAATGTGTGATTAATATTCCCATGACGTCATTTAAGACATAAGCATGAAGTAGCAAGTATGAAGCTGTAAGGTTAGGAGAGCATGGAGATACAGTAGCCAAAAAGTAAATGATATACCTCTAGTTGTTCATGAAGGCGCCTCTGAACATCTAGCTGCAACTGAAGAGCCTCTCTAATTTGCAGGCCACTGACGATGAAGAACAAGAAACTCAGTTGATTAGAGTCACATCATCTAATGAAAATATTAAAATAACCATGAATGGAACTATTTGAACTGTGGAATGGTAACAGGGGCTTAGGCAAAAGAAGTAGAGTTACGTTTTGGCATCAAGATGCACATTCTCTACATTGGTTCTTTTCTCAGATTTCCCTGAAACATGATAAAGTAGTCTGAAAATCAATAATAACCATAAGGGCATTGAAGATCATGAATCACAGGAGAATAATAAAGCAGTGGAGGTCATGTTCACAACAGCATTTATTCAATAGTTTTGGCGATTTCATGTATCATTATCATCCAGCTGAGAAATAAAATCAATTTGACATTTAATAATTCAAGGTTTCTGTCATACATGAAAAAATATATAGGGTTTTTAGTAGTTTCAACCTCCTGTAACTTGAGCATATTCAATAAAAAATGAGTGACATAACAATCTCAACATTTGAGCAGCAAAATATATTTGGCATGATGTAGAAACTACACTGAAACAGTGCCAATAAATTACCTTGAGTTGATTGTGGCATGTATTTGGCAATTCTATATTTCTGCAGATGACTTTTGACATGGAAAATGGTCAATCCATCTGATTCCATCAGCCTTAATATAGCTTTTGGCGTTGCTTCTACAATGAAGTAGACAAGAAGACTATCAGATGTTGAATATGCAGAGAAAAATTCAGCAAGTTAATTAGTTTATGTCTGGTTTCTATTTTCAGAAACTGTCTAGTTCTCAAAATGCAACTAAACAAGGTTACTCTTAATGCTGGAAGATGATGAAATGGATGAAGTTGAACAAGATGAAAACAAACAAAAAGTATGAAACTACTTTAGAAAACAGTTTTCAAAATAAAAGGGAACCAATACAAGCCCTTACTCTCAGCACCTCCAAGGCGATTCACACACTCAACAAACTTCTCATGAAGTTCCTGAGTCCATCTTATTCTTGTTTTACTTGAGACTACTGGTCCATTTGAAGAAGAGTTTCCAGAAGAAGTTAGCAAACTACCTGCTGAGAGTGTTGGTGACAGCATCTCTTGCTGAGAAGAGAAGCTAATCTGTGCAGCAGGTAAATTGTATGAGCCACAACAATCCTTCAGGGTAGAAAAGAAGCAATAACAACATAAGCCATATGAACAACAGAGAAAACTAAAGATGGAGATGGCAACAAACTTACTCTTTGATCCTGATTTCCTATACAAGGAACCGAAGGGCTTGAAGCATCATCAATGAACAACTTGGGTTGTTCAATTGGAAGAAAACTGCTGCCAGGGAAATTCCCAGATGAGATTTTATTAGACTTTTCAGGAGATCTAACACATTGATCGCTATTCACATGGGATAAGAGCATTGCTTGCAAGGGATTTGACAACTCAAAGTTAGGGGCAGGTTGGTTTGCCAATGAAGCCAAGAAATGGTTTTGCCTTGGAGATTGATACAAAGGGAATTCCGCATCACTGATCTTAGAGAATTGAGATATCAAAGAGGGGTTACCAACTAGTCTATCATATTGTGGGAATCCCATGCAGATTTCTGTTGCATAAAAGGCTGAAGCTGGTGATTCAAAACGGCTTATAATGCTGCTAGATGATTTGGTTTGGCCTATGTGTGGTTCCTCTTCAAATCCACCACTGGCCATAGCAAGTGGCTGATTGCAAGTTCCCATATGTGAAGCCTGTATTATATCAAAACATTGACTAGAACAATTGCCAAACTCTGAACTCAAATCCCCATTTAGACCATAGCTTTGTTGAATCCGTCCAACACAATCAATCCTGTACTCGTTCATTTATAGACACTCCAAACGTTCCCACAAGATTTGAACAAAGATGGCAAGAAGAGTTTCTCAGTAACAGATCAAATTTCTGAAGTAGCATGCATGAAGAGAAAGTTGATCCTTATTAAGGGAATGGTGAAGGGAAGAAGAAAAGAAGAACCAGAAAATGAACAAGAAGATTGGAAAAGGTAAGAATGGTTAGGCTAAATTCTAACCTTATGGCATAAAGTGCTGTCTTATATTCCTGAAGGCTTCAGGAATAAGATTTGAATCTAATTTGTCCAAATGCTACCATGCAAGGTCATTATTTGTTATTTCTTTGTTTTGTTTTGAGACTGCAAAATCCTCTACAGAAAGCAATTTTGTTTGAACCAAAGTGTTATATATGACAAACTTTTTTAACTGTTACACAACCAAGACTTCAAATCCAAATTACTTGTTAAGTTGAAACAGCCTAACTCCACCTGTTGGTCTATTCTCTGTTGACACAACCGAAGTACATAACACAGAAAACAACACAGCTCGATAAGCAAATAAAATAGTTTTGTCTAATGTTGTCTTGAAGTGAATATAAAAGAAAAGGCAAGAGAATCAGAAGAAAGATGAAAGCTAAAAGCAACCGAACTTGAACAAGTCACAAACAGAGGTTTAAAACCGCCCCAAACTATTACTAAATAGTTTAAGATCTTGAAATTGTAGAATATTGTTATTGGCATCTATAGTGTGATAATAAAATGTTAGATAAAGATACTGGCATAAATTCACAGGTTAAAGATCTGCAACTATTCTTATAATGGATTCGGAAGAAATAGCTTTAGTCACCCACAGTAGTAATAAATATGAACATACAGATAGCCAAATCTTCCTTTCCAAAAGAAGACAATATATATTAGATTCAAAAACCTTGTTCCATTGCATGAAACTGCATCTTGCAAAGTGGGGTATCAGAAATTACTGAAAAGTGTAGCTAACTTCTTATATTCATCTTAAAAGCAGAACAGAATTTCAACTACAGAATTTCCAACATTGATCAGTAACTTTTATGGTCTTTCCATTATCGAAAGGTAAAACAATATACACATATTCACTGTATTATTCATCACTTGTATCACTTCCTTCTTGCCATTGATTTAATTTGGTCAAAATGCATCAAGTACCTTTTAACTGTAGGTCAATTTCATTCATATAAATACTTATAACATGTTGAGGAGGGATGGCAACGGGTCGGGCACGGATAGTGCCTACCCGCAACTCGACCCGACAAAAGAAAATCCATCTGCTACCCGACTTGCTACCCGCATGGATATCCGCTTAAAAAATATTCGCGGGTATTTTAAAACCCACGGATACCCGTGGATATCCGCGGATACCCGCAAATATTAAAAAAAATATTTTAATAAATTATTAAAATAAAATTTAAATAGAATTACAAAAAATATATAAAATATAATATAAATTAAATTAAATATAAATTTAAATTCAATTTTAATTAAATTTAATCTTGTAAAATATAAATTAATGTTAATTTTAATTAAATTTAACTTAATAAAATATAAATTAAATTTTTATTTTTATTTTTTGCGGGTAGCGGGTATCCACGGATACGGATAGTATAATACCCGCACCCGACCCATTTATAAGCGGGTATTAAACCATCTGCTACCCGCGGGTTGCGGGTAGTAAATATCCGCGGGTATCAACTATCCGTCGCGGATTTTATTTGCGGATATCCGCGAGCGCAGATTCTTTTGCCATCTCTAATGTTGAGTTGTTAATTTTTAAATGGCTGCTCCAACAGTGTAACTTTACTCTTATAATCAAGAAAAATATAGAGTTATAGCCATTCACTGAAAATAATCATTGAGATTCTAATTACTTCATAATTTTATATTCATAATTTTATATTAATCTTAATTGTTAATATTTTAATCAATAGTTTTAGAGAAAATAGTGTATGCAGTGATGTTGTAAATATTTTTCACATCAATTGAAATCATTGTTTAGCTTAATAGCATGTTTGGTTTAGGAAAGAAAAAGTATAAAATGAGATTACGTTTTAGGTTGTCTATAACATAAAAAAGAGAAAGATCCACTTGTTTGGTAATATAAAAAGTGAAAAAGTAGTGTGGTGTATATATAATAACATAAACATCTTTAATAAAAATAATAATATATCATATAAGTTGAATATAATAGAAATTATATATGGATTAATCTTCTTTCTGTTTAAATATAAACATAGGATTCTCTATTTATAATAAAAAAAAATATTGATTAAGCCTAAAATATAAATAAAAAATAATAACAAACTAATTAAAGATAAATATAAAATAAAGATAATATATTTAACACTTTCATCAAGTTATTGCATACAAATCGTATGAATCAAGTTTGTTATTAATATAATTCATAAAGACTTAGTGAAAATATATGCTTCTATACTTGAGTGACACCAAATTACTAATGATTCACAAATCTTTAAATGGCCTAAACCAATCTTTTAGGGCCTGGTTTGGAAAATTTAGTAATGTTGTTCAACAATTTGGTATGACTCCAATCAAGGCACCTGCAAAGGAAAAAGAGCAACATTTATGCTCTGAATAGCTGCCTGAGAGGAGACAAGACGTGCAACAATGCAACGATGAACCTGAAAGAGGAAAACGAGTGACATCGACGCTCTGAATTGCTACTATAGACATGTCACCATGCACAACCAACAAGAGATCAAATACACAACTTCAAAAGGTGCTGAGAACACGTAAGGGTTCCGATGAAGGCATCGTTGATGATGCTAAGAAGTAGACTTAAGTCTAACTCAAGCCCACAAAATTGGCTTGTAAGGTGAGGTTTGTACCAATTTATATACTCTAAATTGGCCTAGTCGATGTGGGACTTCCAACACACTCCCCTCACGCCGAGGTATATACATCTCGAGCGTAAGATTAAACATTAATGGGTGGTCCGATAATGGCCTGATAACGGGTGGAACAACACGTCTAACAAACAACAAGTATCCTTAGGATAGGCTTTAACCATAGTTGTGATACCATGTTAATAAGTGGACTTTAAGCCTTACTCAACTCCACAAAACCAACTTGTAAGGTGAGGTTTGCACC